TCATTTTATTTATAGTAAGTATTAAAGTTACATATATATTTTACAATTTTTTTAAATTTTGTCTGAAATTAAATTCGGATAAACTAAGATGGATGAATATTTTCCGCTAAAATAAATTGGCTTATGTCATCTTTCTTATCCAAATTTTTGAACTAATAAAAAAGATGGTTTAAATTTCTCACGCAGTTGTTGCTTTCTATTATTAAATAAATATAAAACTTATAAGAATAACTGAAGTAAGAAATTGCCCTGGTGGGAAATTGTTTCGCTACTCGTAAAGTAAAATTTAATATTTACATTTTATTAAAAGCGAAATTAATGACAAATATCATAATATATAATCGTTAATCACTTAAGTCAACACTGAGGAGTAATTCAAGTTCGCGTTCTAATGAACATCGTTCAAGAAACATTAAATTGTACCTGATATTATCGGGCAGTGATTGGACAATATTTAGCCACTGCAAAAGTTCTTTAAACTCCTTTGCACTGTGCGAGAATTGTATATGCTGGAAAAAGGGAACGTTTGTTGAAAGACCGCACGAAAGAATTTCACGGAAATATTTTCTTGGGAATAATTGCCTGACTTTGTACCTCGCTAAAGCGGAGAGTGAATGGGGATTTTCCTTAAATATAATCTCAAATCGTCGGTGAAGTTTATAAGTGATAGAGGAGATCGAGATATCTTGAGAAATATTCAGTTCAGGTAGCATCCTTGCACCAGAATATATGATGTTCAGTAAAAGAATGAAATTAGACTCGATTAAATAAGGTGGATTTTTTAATTTTGGATTCTGTGCTTTCCAATTAGCATAACAATCGAGGATTCTAAGGTAGGTACCATAGTTCAAATCGCATTCGGTCATTAAATCGACAGGCACCTCTAAGCCGCTTTGTAGAAGTCGTCGAAATAAGGAGTGGAAGTCAATGTCCGAGCCTGAACACAAGTTCTGAAAGAGTGATGACAAAACGGCCTTCTGAATTCCAGATTTACTGATTTCAACAGTTGAGCCTTGCACAAGCAAGCGATCCAGTATTTTTACTACGGCAGTACCGTGTTTGTATGATCGTTTAGAAGGTGAAATCTGTGAAAATGCGCAAGAATAGAGAAAAAGATCAATAAGAGAAATGCTTGTTTCAGCTGGTAAACATATGCATGACGTTGGGATACTGGTGAGTAATTCTAGAACACAACGCCATCTTTGTTCCAACATAGCATTGACAATTTTCTTCGTTGTAAGAGCAGGTGAATGGCATGATTTTGGTAAATTTACTGCTGAAGACATGACAATTTCATTATGGGCATTTGTAAATTGTTCATTTGCAGCCGATGGCCAGCTTTTTCTTTCAGAACAAGAATAAGTGCGGATGGAGAGTTCAATGTTCTCCGATGGTCTTGGTTCATCTGAATCCCCTAGACATCTAACGTAGCCATTACTCCGTTTTCGTAAAATATTAGTAAGATTCCAAGATATTCGGCGATGAATAACTGGACTATTTAACAACACAAAAGGGATGTCTTGGCCATTGTCTTGAAAAATCCGAGTCTTCACATTGTAACTTAGCTTTCGAATCATGGAGTGGACTCCTGACTTAGTGCAGCTTTCACCCATCCGTGGTGGGAGAATTCCTACCATTTTTATTTTGATTAATTGAATTCTCTGTATAACAGTTTTATGAGAACGGTAGCGCATTTGCTATTGGTCGTTTCAATATCCAATTAGAAAGGTTGTTATTAGTTTGAAAAATACGTAAAAGGAATACTACCGTAAGCACACTATGCAGTCCAATGAAATTTTAAAGAAATTTATTTTAGTGAATTTGAATTAATAAAATAAGGACATGGAAAGTATTAGTACGTTGATAAACTTTGAGCAATTTCACTCTTGAATAAATTTCTTACTAAATCATGGTAATCATTTATAGAGATTTAAAGACAAATTAAAACATGTTAAACAATTCCTAATCCATATTTTCAAAATAATATCGAAATAATATGTGTTAGCAGACACTCTTTGAACTATTTATAAATGCATCTTTATGAGTGTCTATGGTTCTTTAAGTAATCGAAATAAGCATTTGAACTTATTCTGTTCACTATTTATTATAATGAAAATCCGTTTCACTGTCAGTTTGAATAAATTTGAAACACTTATAAAACGCTAAATTTCATCATCTACGTTGCTCACAAGTAACAAGAAACTAACTGGAGTATACCAGTAAATGTCTATTTTGCTATGAAGTGGCAACAAAGCGTTTTCACTTTCTATCCGTGTATAAAAATTTGAAATTAAAGAGAAGTAAATTTTAATAATAACTTTAAGTTTAGTTTAAAGTCCTAAATAACGATTCTAAGTTCAACCTAATTTATATTTCCTATCTGAGGTGTGCAATAGACTTACCTCCACGTGGTTCACACTGGGCAACGTATGCTCATACGGCAAAAGAGATCTATTAACCAGCAGTTGACTTCTAACTTCAGACTACCATGACCCCACTGCATGTCATATTCGACCACTTTCACAGTACTCATCTTACCTTTTCTCTGCTTTTTTGTCTGCCTCACTCTGTGCATCTGTGAATCATTATTCTGTCTTCCCTCTCAACCTTTTGTCACTTCGATGTTCCTCCTCCCCTTCGTGAAGCGCGAAGTCAACTGAAGAGCTAATGATAACCATCAAAACGCCTGTCCTTTGAAATAAATAAATATTTCATATCTGAGTAATCTATATAGGCAAGGATTTGCAACCTCAATATAGTTCATGAAAACGGTATTTAAATTTATGTGAAAATGAAGGCTAAATTAATATTATTACATGGTTAAATAGGGCAAAATGACTGACAACGTGACAGGTTTTCTATTTCTACCGTGTAACGTTCAGATGCAATTAACCCTTACATGCCAAAGGTCATTAGGTAATTAGTTTTCTAAATATAAATAAAATAAGTTAGCTTAGAAACGCCGTATTATTGTTTGATACAATAGTAAGATTGAATATTATTACAATAAATGCGTAGATAAGTGACTAAATGCCTTTTGAATTAACGGGATTTAAGACAAGGGATAACAATATTTGCGTGCATTCATTAAAAGTTTGCATAAATAAATTTTGTTCTTCTAAACGTTAGTATTTTGGACATTTTAAATTCGCATCATTACCGAAGTTGGGCACTAATGAGGGCTAATTATTGAAAAAATGTTAATTTTCACCATTTTTTACAGGGGTTTTTAATTAAAACCAGACTGTAAATATCGACTCAGGAAACTACTCCCGACTAACGAGATCAGTTTCAATTATTTCGACCTACATTGAGACGAAATAGGAGCTATTTTTCCTTTCGAAAGCACTATTTGCCCATTTTAATTTACTTAACTGTATCTCGACTATTAGTTTGTGAGAAGAATAAAGGTATATATATTTATTAAAAATTTATATCGATTTTGATGAAGATCATAAGCATAATTTGTACCCATTTTAATTACTTACCCAAAAAGACATCTCAATTTTTAAAATCTTTTGAAGCTGAAAAACTCACAGTTTACCGTCACCAAACTTGTTGAAATTACCATTTTATATAATAGCTTGAAACCAGAAAAACTTTAAATATTTTCTAATGATAGAAAATAAGCTGATAAATGTCAATTTTCAAGCTCAATTATATATATTTAAACATTTTTTATCAATAAACCTAAAGACCTTTTCAACTAAGGTCCAAATAACATGTAAACTACCCAGACGGTAAATTTTATGATCTAAAATACTAAAATAACAACCTGAATTCGAGAAAAATAATTCCAAGTTAAATAAGCCGATTTATCAATTTTCTATTTTACTTTTCTCCGATATTTCTTTAGCTTCGTTCATTTAACTAATATTGAATGCTTATATTATTTTTCCCTTAAAATCTATATTTGATTCCGGACGATTATTAGAGCGTTTTAAATATAACTAATTCAGTTTGATATAAAATTTGTGTCAAACGGATTATCGTTCTGCTTCACTGAAGCCCAATTTATGAATTTAATTCCTGCTTTAATTTTTCTTCTTTTTTGAAACGTTTTAATTTCTGGCTCACTCAACCCTTGTACTTTTAAACACGGGGGGTTTATTTGTTCTTTTCATAACTGATTTCTATTGTTCGGTAATTATTTTTGAATCAGAGAAATAATCGTCTCCTAATGAAATAATAGTAAAATGGGAAAAATACCTTTTCTAACTCACTGACAACGTCGTTTTAAAATGGTTTGCGCAACGCAATGTGATCTATAAATCTGATATTCTTATTCGTTTTTATATACTAATAATATTTTAGTAAAAACCTGGCTTACCACATATATGCCACCTTATCAAATATTGGGGGGTCATATTTGAATTTAAATCATTAATTTTATTAAAAATTTAATTTTGAAAACAATTCAAAGCACTAAATTACAAAGTAATTCAATGGAAATAAAGTACGGAATAGAAAAATAAATTCTTGTGTCTTGGACGAGGAGCAATTTAACTTATTTCAAGATGGAATAATTTTGGGTTGCTGGTAATTTTAACGTTAATTAAAATAACATTTTTACTCGGAATTAAAACTGTAAACTTGATTTAAAAAAAGCTAAAACATTTATTTCAACAAAATGTTTGAGCGGCATGATTATTGTCAGCCAAAAGTAGAGCTTTGACTCATAATTTTGATTAAATTTGATTTTTATTATTGTTAATTTAGTCATTAGTGAAAAAACACATGTATAGTTTGTTAAGATTTTTAAACAACTAAAGCGTCTTCAAAAAATCGAACTCACTTTTAAAAATTTACATTTAGTATTACTTCACTTGTAAATTCAATCAGACATGCAGGCTTTTAGAAATTTTTGATAAAGCAAAGTTGAACGCCTTATTGTATCTAATTGTATTTGAAATAATCCAAGTGACTTATTAAATAAAAGTAATTCAATTTCCATTTTTGACTCAGCCGAATACTTTTGAAAGCCCTTTGTCTTGTTAAAATGAATCTCTTCTAAAATTCAATTTTCATCTTAATAGGGTGTGTGCGATAGACTTACCTCCACGAGGTGCACTCTGGGCAACGTATACTCATACGGCAAAAATGTCTATTAACTGGCAGTTGACTTCTGACTTCAAACTACCATGACCCCACTCTATGTCATATTCGACTACTTCCACAGTACTCACCTCATCTTTCATCTACCTTTGTGTCTGTCTCTTTTACATCTTTAAAACACTCTTCTGTTCACCCCCCCCCTCTCTCGACTTTTGGGATTTGATGTTCCTCTTCCTCTGTGAAGCCTGAAATCAACTAAAGGGCTTATGATAACTATCAAAACGCCCGCCATTTGATATAAATAAATTAACATCTTAATCACTGACTCTTAAGCATTTTCCTAAATATGTTTTTATTTTTGATAGCTGGTGAAACCTTTTGGAACTAGTTAAAGAAAAATAATCAAACCATATCTTAAGCGACTAATAAATTGTCATTATTCCTTTTATTAACTAAAACAATGCTATTGATTGAATTGTTTGAATGCTAATGTGGATTTTACAAATAATGATTGTCAAGTAACCCAGTTGGGAATTCACAAGATTTAACATTTTGTTCCAATCAGAAGAATTATAACTTCATATATATGTGTATATATATATCATAGTCATTGAAAAAGATTATTTGAAAGAGTCTTTGTCCATTTATTACTTTCGTTGTCTTCCTATGGAAATTAGAATTTTGTGTAAACAGGCGTATCTATTACGTTGTGGACCAACTTTCCAGCTCTAGCTCAGAGTTAAATTTGTATCAAAGCTTTTTTCGTATCATTTTCAGAAACATTATCAAGTTATTTGGCTATTATTATCACTGGGTCGGCAAAATCTCATCGATCGGTCAATCAAATGAGACTGTAACACTCAAAGCTCGATATCAATAAACTTGATCTGCACCAAAAGAAGTAACTCAATAGTTTAGCACTCATTGTGTCAACTTGACTATATAGAAAGGATTCTTTGAAATCACCTGTGATAGCATGTTTATTTGTGGTTCCAAGATAGATAAATCATCCCTTACCGCCTCGTCAGACTCTTGTCGTAATCCCAACGAGATTGATATTTATGTCGACAGTAAGAGTGTAGTACTGCAGTAGTAATAAGGTATATGATTTCAATAAAAGTTTAGTGACAGTAACACTTATTATAATAGGTTTGAAACCTTGTACTTATTTAACTTGGGGAGGGAAGGGTTGGGGGGTATTTAAAAGCAATCTAGATGAGGTCAAGTTGGGACTTATGAGTATATGCAAGCAAATCTTTGATGAACAATGAAATAAAACTACTAATCGCGGAAATGAAAGTACAAATTTGCATCAAATTTTTAAAAATTTAAAACAGCGTTTCTAAGTAAAATTCGTGGATATTTTGAAATTGTTAGTCTGCGAATACGTCCTTTGGCGGCATGGTTATAAAGTGGAACACATCATTTCAAGGACTCATGGCAAAAGCATCCTCAAAAACAGATGACCTGAACGAATTCTGAAATAGCTGTTAGAAAATAAAATGAAATAATTTCAGGAACAGAAGGAAGCTCTAGAAAAGGGATTCTACTGTGAAAATTTTCTTGAACCATGTATGGGTGG